TGTCTGGGTCGTCTGTGGGGCAGAGGCCGCAGACCCGCTCGGAGGGGCTCGAGGCAGAGTGAGGCGGGGGTGGCAGCCCTGGTCCTGAGAGCTGGCAGGGACCCTCACCTGTAGTCCTTGAAGTGCGAGAAATTATAGAGGATGTCGGCGTCGGCCTCGCCCGGGGTGAAGGTAAAGCGCGGGTGAGTGAGGTGGCTGAGTACCTGGCGCACGTCCGTGTAGACCCTGCAGGTGAGCTCGTGAGCCAACGGCGGCCATAGCGCAGCTGCCCCCTGCCCAGACCTGTGAGTCCTGGGCTCAGCTGTGGACACAGGGCAGCCTGGGGGTAGTTCCGCCTCTGCTGCATCCTGCCTGGTGGTGGGGCCTGGTGCCCTCACGTCCCAAGTTCACTGTGGGTGGGACTGGCGTCCCGCCACATTAGGACCGAACGGACTGTCTGGGGGCTTGACACTTAGGAAACGAGGGGCCGGCACTGTTGGTCTCACATAGACACACTGGGCACGAGTCTTCAGGGAAGCTGGTGCCTGGAAGTTCCTTAGAGATCCAGGGGCGGCCTACAGGCCTGGCTAGAGTGTGGTCCAGACAAGTGCCCGGTGGGGTCTCACTCCACACTTGGGGCCTGCTGGTGCGCTGCAGGGGGGAGGTGGGCCTGGCAGCCTGTCTGCTGGGGTGGTAGACACAGCGCTCTTACTGTGGGAGGGCCGAATGTGAGGCACAGGCCCGCTGGAGGCAGCAGGGCAGGCCCAGAGGGGAAGCTGGACCACAGGGCAGGCGCTCTCCTGAGACTGGGGTGTGGGTGGGCCAGGACTGCCAGCAGGAGGCCAAGGGCCCTGGGGACTCTGTCCAGAGATGGAGGCTGTGGTTGGGGTTTCATCTAGCGAAAAACCCTGGTTGCCTGGGGTGGGGAGTGGCCTCAGGCAATGGGGGAGGGTCCTGCAGAGGGCATGCCAGGAGGAGACTACAGGGAGGGGCTCCGGTAGGCACAGCAGTGCTAGGGTGCGGCTCCCTGCGCCTCCATTTCCTCCCTGCAAAGTGCAGTGCTGTCCCTGCCAGGGTATGGGGTGTGGCCTGGACTTGCCCACTGCTGCCTTCTGTCACTCCCAGCCCACATCTGCAGCCCCCTGGGGAGGGCCCCCTCAGCAGCCTGGGTGCCTTTTCTAGGTGCCCAGCACCTTTAGTGGCATAGACTTGTGCTTTCGGGAGGGCCAGGAGGGCCAGCCTGCACAGGCCTGGCGGTGTTTTGGTTCCAGGAACACAGAGTACCCACGTGGTACAATCAGGGACGTGACCCTGGGTGCCGGCAGGGTGGGGTGGGGACCGCAGCCGATGCTCTGCCCTGAGCGGAACGTTCTGCCCACTCATAGACTACACCTGTCTTAGATCTCAAGGGTAAGGGTAAAACCCACTTGCTCCAGGAAGCCCTCTCCATCCTGTGGAGTTTTCTATGTGAGCCCAAGAACGTGACCCCAGGTGGGTCCAGGATGCCAACCCCAAGGGCACTGCTGACATGCCGGGTGCCTGTCACCTGGGGACCATGGTGAGCGGGGAGACATCCAGCAACCGTGGATAGGTCCCGGCATGCACAGAGAGCGATACAAACCTGAAAATGTGGTCGGGGGGACGAGCTACCGGACTGACGGCGAGAGGCAGCTTCTCCTTGTTTTCCTCTAAGATGGCCTGGAGAGAAACACAGGTGGCAGAAAACAGGCCTTGATGGAGGACGCGTGGCAGGGCTGTGGCCCTCAA